TCTCCACCGCTGAGGATTTAAAAAAAATGCACTAGGCAAGCTCCTGTATAGAAAGTTTTTATCAGAGTTGATCCTGCGTTGGGGTAGGAGATGGCCTAAGCAATGCCCTAAGGTTCCTCCCAGCCCTGTTCGTAGGATCGTAAGTTTCAGTGAGGTTTTTAACGTCCCACTTCAATACAGTGAAGCAGGTGTCGAAATGTTTGCCAGACGGGGTCCCGCGTCCCAGCCCTCATCAGGCAGAATGTGAGAGAGGATCTCCTGGGAAGGTGTGGCCCCTCTCTGCCCACCGCTCCCAGTTCCCCTCCAAGCGTGCCCCCACGGACTGCAGCTTGTGGCATGGGAGCATGGCACCGCACGCGGCCGGTGCCAGGGAAGGAAGTGCTATATGCGGAGAGAACTTCCTGTGGGGATGAATTCCAGCGGATTCCCACGGCCCCGTGCCAGTTTCCAAGCGCTGACAGCGGGCACGGCTCGCTGCGCACACCGCCAGGCCCCGGGAGCTATTCACAGCTCTTTTTTCTTACCCCCACACTGACACACCCATATCTGAACGGCAAAACCCCCTCAGAATGTCATGACCTCCGGGTTATTTGGTTCTCCTCGTGCCTACGCTCACTGCTGCCAGCCTTTCTGCTGCCCTGCTTGGAGGCAGATCAAAACCTCTGCTGTGCTGAAGCTGTTTCAGACTGTGCTGTCTGTCGACCTCAGAGCTGAGCGTCTCTGCAGGATGCCCGTCGTGGCATTTCACCTCCAGTTCCCCTTTTAAACCAGACGCTTGACACGTGGCAGGAGCAGACACACTTGTAAAGGGAAGGATAAGTAAATGGCTCTTGATGGGCCCTCGAGGGGTACGAGCTAAGGATATTCAAGGCTTATTTATACAGAACACAAGGAGAACTTGCAAAGATCAGATTAATGTCTCTTTCAAAACCAGGCCAGGGCTGTAAACTGGAAGTGAATCAAATCCAAGTCCCAGTTAGTTTTAGATGGCATCTTTCCTCAAAACTTATCTGAGAATTCTACAGACTCTACTTCCTAGTCGCCAGTCACTAACATACTGTGCAAAGCAACTTAATCTTTTGTTCAGTTTAAGTCCAGACATTTCAGTACATGAAATCTGTTTGGACATGTCCCTCTCTAATCTGGTTTCGAGGTTACCTCCATAAATATTACCTGTGCTGTAGCTAGAACGTTTGTAGATTGCACTGGCCCCTAACTCATGCGTCCAGACCTATGCATTATGCAAATGTTTTCCTCATATCCCAGGCTTGTTAGATCAAATCAAACTGCACTCAACTCTTCATCTGTCCTTTACATGTTGATCAAAGCACAGAATGCTGTTTTAGAAAGGAAATGCCACTGAGGGTAATATGCCTTCTGTTGTCTGAAAAAAACCTGCTGATAAGGATCCTGGTGTGATTCAAAATGACAGGATGAAATTACAAAGAGTCCGTGCCACCTCTACCTCCAGTTCAAAGCATGGACACTAGAGAGGAAAGACGTTCACGTCATCTCCTCCTGGCCTGGCTTCTGCTGCACAATTGCTCTGTGAAAGACCATGTTCAGTATCGGTAACTGATACTATGCGAATCATTTCCCATAGCAGTATAAAAGAAACTATTTCCAACTATTGCCTTGATTAATACTGACATATCTCACAGCCAGGAAAGCCAGGGAGCATTCAAGAGGGCGAGAGGGCAGAGGACGGCATACAACAGAGCCAAGTGCATGAGGTGGCACACAGTAGGGCACAGAATATTATCATGGGTCCTGCCACATCGTCAGCTGTTAATATCTTCCTGCTGCTCACCCTAAACTGAAATATCCATCCTTAATTTCATCCCTGTCTCCCTGATGGCTCTCGCTCAGTTCTTTCCTCCCTCCCACTGGGCTCTGGTTGCTCACGTTCTCCCCCCCCCCGCACTGCCCCGATCTTGTAGAAAGCTCCCTGTGGCCGGAGGCGGCGCAGGGACTTTCCTCAGGGCACAGAGGGTGATTAGTTGCAACTTTCAGCGATGCCTGACTCATTGCGTAGCCACCCGCACACATGTGGCTTTCGTGTTTCCTTGTACGCAAATGTCACCAGGCTCCGGAGGATTTGTTTGCTGTCCTATCTCACACCCTCACTTATTACTTGCACTGCCTTCTCTGAAGTATGGTTTTGTCACCGTCTTTCTCAACTGAGTGTTTAATTTATGGGCGACGGCAGGGCTTTTTACCTTATTTTTCACCCAGCTCTGCACATGTAATCCCAGAGTGCATCGCTCTTCACTGATGGCAAACTCCTCCGTTATGTAAGGACAGGCAGAAACCTGCCCTTCCCTGCCTGCCCTGTTTCCTTTTCTGTATTTCTGCTTTCTAGGTCTCCTTACCCCATTACAACCTGTGGATTTGGTCTAGTTCTGTTGCTCCAGGTGTAACCGCTGGAGCCTCAATAAAAGTCAATTAGTCTCTCTGCTAAATCCTTGCCATTATTTCACTGTCCTCGTTAGTGTTCTTCTTAGTCTCATCCCATATGCGAATATTTTACACACGCACAGCAATGTAATATTTACTTCCCTACTTCCAGCCCTTTGAATTACTGAATGCAGTACTCCGCTGCTGGCTGTATGAGAGAACGGGCCAGCAATGAATCCCAATCAAGGGCAGGCAACAGTATTTGTAAATACTTGATCCCAGAAAATGCCTCCCACCGCTATGCGCTAACAGGATATTCACGCCATTGGCAAATTAACCCAGGGCACAATTTTAGGCACCAGGAAGGCTGCTCCATACAACCCCGTGGCGACAGCGGCAGGAATCCGCAACAGAAGCAAACGCCCTGTGCATCTTCCTCTGGATACGGGCTCAGAGCGGCTCGGAGGGACCGTGTGGGG